CTGTATAGCTGATAGTCGGATAGTTGAAATTTTCACAGAAGATTTACTTTTGTTACCGCTTAATAAATACTAAAAAACAGAAGAAAAATTATTTCAGTGGGGCTCTCATACAACAGACATGATTTTTTTGCCGATTTCATAGATAGTCCGACTCGCATTTGGCCAGTTTTTCATGTGATAAATTTATCGATATTTTTTTTATTTTTTATAATTCCGGCAAAGTGCAGTTCGCAAAGCACTTCTTTCCTTGGACATTCACAAGTCGAGTAGGCCCGATGGCATCCCTCCGATTGTGTTACAGACGTGCTCCAGAGTTGGCGCCGGTTTTAACACGTCTTTTCCGGCACTCCTATACTTTAGGCGTAGTCCCGAAATCATGGAAGGCCGCGTTAGTGCACCCGATCCCTAAAAAAGGCAACCACTCTGATCCGTCCAATTACAGGCCAATAGCCATCACCTCCTTGTTCTCCAAGATAATGGAGTCTGTTATCAACGGCCAGCTTCTGCGGTACCTAGAGGAGCACCGGCTGATTAGCGACCGCCAGTATGGCTTTAGACGGGGTCGCTCGGCCGGTGATCTTCTGGTCTACCTTACACATCGATGGGCAGAAGCAGTTGAGAGCAAGGGGGAGGCGCTTGCAGCCAGTCTGGACATAACGAAGGCCTTTGATCGGGTATGCCTTTTTGGCAGATCGGAGCATCAAGGTCGTCGTCGACGGTGCATGCTCCGATCCTAAATTTGTCAATGCTGGTGTTCCACAAGGCTGCGTACTGTCTCCTACTCTGTTTCTTCTGCATATCAATGACATGTTGCAAATCAGCAACGTCCTTTGTTATGCAGACGATAGCACTGTGGATGTCTCGTACACTGGCCGAGCTAACATTTCTCGGGAAAACGTCTACGAGAGTCGGAACAAGCTTGTGTCTGAGGTCGAGACTTTGTTAATCAAAGTCTCAGACTGGGGTCGACTAAACCTAGTCCAATTCAATCCCAAAAAGACACAAGTTTGCGCGTTAACCGCTAAAAAGTCCCCATTTGTCATGACTCCTTATTTCGAGTACACTCCCCTACCTGTCACAGCTAGTATCGGAATGCTTGGCGTCGAAATCTCGAGCAACGTCCAGTTCCGCGGTCAATTGGAAGGTAAGGCCAAATTGGCCTCAAAGAAGCTTGGTGTGCTCAGCAAGGCGAGACGGTACTTTACGGCTGCCCAACGCCTAAACCTCTATAAGGCGCAAATTCGGCCCCACATGGAGTACTGTTCTCACCTCTGGGCGGGAGCCCCCTATTACCAGCTTCTTCCATTTTACCGCATTCAACGTAGGGCGGCTTGGGTTATCGACGATCACAAAGTCTTTCCGATCAGCTTGATCCTATGGCTCTGCGTAGAGATGTTGGATCACTCTGCATCTTCTACCGCATTTATCACGGGGAGTGTTCTGAGGAATTGTTTGGATTGATCCCGGCGGCTGAATTCCACCATCGGACATCGCGCCAGAACCAAAAATTTCATCCACACCACTTCGATGTCCAACGTTCCACAACAGCGCGATTTTTAAGGCATTTCTTGCCTCGCACAACCACTCTGTGGAACCAACTGCCGCCGGTGGTCTTTCCGAACCGTTACGACCTGGGAACCTTCAAAAAGATAGCATACTCTTTCTTAAAAGGCCGGCAACGCATTTGTGAGCCCTCGGGTGTTGCAGGTGTTCATGGGCGGCGGTGGTCACTTACCATCAGGTGAGCCTCCTGCTCGTTTGCCCCTTTTCTCCATAAAAAAAAAAAAAAAGTTATCGCCGTGATAATTTTAAGTTTCAACACGTTTTTTGCTTGTAGAATTCGTACAAATGTGTGTCTTGAATGAATGAATTAATTCAAAAAATTTATTACACACATAGTTATCGTTGCTAAAATATATATTTATTACATGCATACCTTTAATAAAGTTGTTTATATACAGAAATTAACTTACTAAAACATCGATTCTTATGCTTACTAAGCTAGATGGGGTTTTGAGCAGGCCCTTTTCACTGTCACCAGCCAGTTTTGTGTTTTTCGCCCTATGTGAGATGGCGCAGAATCTCGCTGGAATACACAGAATTGTATTTGATTGAACATGGTATGAGGAATAACCTCATTTTGATATAAAAGCATTCACTTTAATTGCAATATTGCATTAAAAAGTGTATAAAAGTGTGTTACTAGTGTTAAATTATAATTATGGTTACTATCCACTATCAATGTACTGCTTATTACGTCATGTTTACTTAAAGTATATTTAAGTGTAACAAGGGCGTTTATGTGCCGTACAGTTTTGTTTTATTACAAATTACACATAGTTTATAGCGACGTATTTTTCATGTTGCAATTACCGTAATTACATAAAATCTACTGTATTTTTAAATGGTATCATTGTCGTCCTGATTTTTTCCAGATGAACACTGAGCAAATGTAAAACGAAGCGAATGAAATGTGATAGAAATATGAATAAATGAATTAATAATATAACAATCTTATCGATATATCCATATATCGATCTTATCAAACAACTATTATTAATTTCTGTTGATCTAGGCCTGTGTCTTAGGTCTGTGGCGACTCATTTGCTACTGTGTAGCACCGCTCTTATCTTTTACACCCTTACTCTCATCGGTCTAGCATTACCCTATTATTGACAAATTTCTATAGCAACGAGTGACAATAAAAGATGATAGTTTTCTCAACACGGCTTGTTCTTTGTACTGCATCTTAATTATTCCCTCCTGCCGGCTCCCAAAGGTCACACAAGTCTCTGCCGGTTTCTTTTTGACCCATTATTAATTTTAATAAAATTTTAATTTTGTATTAATTTTAATCAAATTTCTTTTATTAATCTAAATTTCAAGGTATGTTATTTAGCAAGACCTTCATTAGAAAAAAAAACAACAAACAGCTTTTTAGTAAGATTAATCAGTTTCTTTAGCCCTGAATCGAATCAAAAAATAGCTAATTAAAAACGAAATTAATAATGGGTCAAAAAGAAACCCGTTGTACCTAGGATATGGATAGTATGAAGTACGAAGCATCAAATTGTAGTATAAATACCATACTTATAGTACCAAATGCAACTCTGCATCCGCGCCAATGCTAAAATAGACCTCAGTTATTTTCCGTACATTTTATCTTTTACGGCTTGGAATGAGTTTGAATAAAAATATCGTTTTTGATACGATTCCGATATTAAATTTTTATATCGATATATCGGATCAAAATATAACGGCCATAAATATCGATATATTTTAAAAAAATATCGATATACCGATATTTTTTTGGCATCCCTAAACTTGTTGAAGGAAGACTTGAAGAATACTTGCCAGCGTGACCAGATTTAGTAGATTTCTACTTTTTTGGTAGATTTTGAGGTACTGGCGACAGAATTTAGTATGTAAAAATTATTTGGTTTATTTTAGTAGAATTCACGCTTATCAGTTATTATAATACTTTTTTGGCTTATCGGATAAATGCGGGGTATTCCCCCTTTCATAGAATGGATTGTTACTATTTAAATTTCATTCTGTTGGTCATTTGATTCGTGCCGTGAGCATAGTGTGATAGACTAGTCGGAATTCCTTTATTGAGAATTTTCATAATCGAGTTTTAAATGAAACTTAAATATACACAAGGATATCGCGATGAATGAGAGCAATATCCCCCATTTAAAAGTTGGTTATGTAAATCTAAGGTAAACACTACGAGTGCTCATTGTAAAGCATGCAACTGTGAAGTACTAAGTAGATCGGCGTCGTTGAAGGAACACATGGCTAAATCAAAGCATATAAAAAATATGAAAGGATATTCCGGCATTTCTCAGGTATGCAAGTTACTAACGTTAATATGTGGAATGTAATTCTTAGTTAATTATTCTTGTTAAGACTTTTTTTACTTGACTTTTTTAATACTTTCGACTTATGCAGTAGTGTGAACCTGTATTATGTTAAAAAAAAACATTCATTGTCAACTGCTAGTTATATGTCTGAAGTTTTTGGTGGATACATTTTGTAGTGATGTCAGCCAAATCTGTGATGTTAATAGCAAACCAAAGTATGGCAATTTGTTCCGATTTGTGAAGCAAATGACGATACTACCTTTGGCAAACGCCAAAGTAGAAAGAATATTTTCGGATATTAATAGGATTAAAAATTAAGATCGAAATCGATGTAATAATAGCAATGTTGCATGCAATATTGCATGGAAAAGAAGGGTTACGACGGGTCAGTTGGAAGGAGGATGTAGGAGATTTGATCGTGACAGAAGTATGATCATATGGACTCAAAACAGCTTTATGACAATGTTACCCAACATAAAGGCGAAAAATCTTATCTTTAGGTTTAATTTTATTTTTTTAATTATATTTTTACTTAGAATTTAACTTAAAAAAAAAAAAACATTGGTTTCTTTGTTTTTATTACTTTATCGTTTAATCAAGAAAAAACATGTTTATAGGTTACACGATAGCAAAAAATATACTAAATTTATGATTTTAGTGTTTTCTCGTTCTCTTTTGGTAGAATTCAGTAGTTTTTAACCTCGACAAGCAGTAGATTCGTCAAATAAAATCTGGTCACGCTGATACTTGCGCTGCGGTTATCGTTTTATGTTTATTTATTTTTTAAATTTTCGTTTCCTTGTTTTGATTATTTCTTTTATTTGTGAATAAAATGTCGCAGCTATCAAATTGGATATCCTTTTTCGTAATCGTTATATTCTTTATTAATAATGGTAAGAGATGATAATTTCTTGTAATAATGATTTATTAACTCCAATACAGTAATCACAGTCACACCCTATAACTCGTTGGTTGATTGAAATACAAACATTTTCAGGTTTTTGTATAAAATGTTGGAATTGTCGATCTAGTAACGATCCAAAATGTGCTGATCCATTTGATAATAGTACTGTACCAATTACGGACTGCAAAGAGGAAAAAGGCCTAGCTCATTTACCGGGCGTAAAATCTAGTATGTGCCGAAAAATTAGACAAAAGGGTATGTAGATCGTTTCTTCGACAAATACTAATTTTTAAATTTAACTTTGAAAAAATTAAATAAGTTTTTTTATTCATAAAAATTGTAATTAAACGCTAAAGCAACACCAGGCTTCCAACATGAAAAGAAGTTCAGAAATTATATGAAATAAAACAACTTAACTACATAATAATATGGAATTTTTTTGTGATAAACAAATATTTTATGTTATGGCAATTATAAACTGTTACTAATTTTCATTTTATTTTGAAATAGAAAAATCCATTTGAAGTAGAAAAAATATTATTTTTTTACTTTTTTTATTACAGTTAATGGTGAATGGCGATATTTTAGAGATTGTGCTTATTTAGGTGATGTTGGTATTCAAGGCGATGAAAGATTTTGTTTAATGAGAACTGGAACATACAACATATTCCTAGAATATTGTACATGCAACAGTAAGGATGGCTGCAATTCATCATCCATATTCAGTCCCACACCATTTCTAATATTTGCTCTGACATCTCTATTAAGATGTGCATTGAGTCAGGCTATGTAACATTGTTTTAAGTATTACCCACAATCTCTCTCACACCCCATAAAAGTCCTCCCATTTATGAGTTTTGTCACCAGTGCCAATTGGTGTAATAGAATTTACACCTAATATGTAAAATTAAATTTTTAAAAGAGAAAGATTGGATTAAGTTTCTTCTTAAAAGTAGTTTAATATTTTTCTTAATTACTTTTTTGTAATACTTTTTTGTATTTATGCAATTACACATTATAAATGAAACTAATTTTAAGGATTTATTGCATTAAATGGTCCTGTGACCATGAACCCTGAAAAGGGTTCGAAATGTCGGCAATTAAACGCGATAATTCCGTAAAATTAGTTTCATTTACAATATACTAATGTAAGTAATATTTAAATATTAACAGAATCCGTCCCAGTGAATCTCATAATGTCTCACTCCAACTCCACCGTTAGTAATTAGTTAAAAAAAGAGGACTATGTCTTCAGCTTTTACTTTTTAAAATGGGCACAATAATTTTATGGATTTTTCAATAATTATTCAGATCTTTTCAATGTTACATTAATTTTTAATAATACTTTAAAATAATTAGTGTTCATTTTACAAGAAATATATTTTTAACATGAAATAAAAATGTAATATTAATTATCTAATTATGACAATATACATACATATCTTTGTCATATAAAAGATTCGAAATCTTTGAAACTGTTATGTTACAATACTATACATTAATATGTTTTGTAACTTGTATTTTTATAAATTAAATTAATGGCTCTCATTAATAATGAATGTTATTCATATAAACTAATAAAACTCTAATTAAACTCATCATAAAGGCACTAAATCAGTTGTACATGAAACCGAGGTGTCATTAGCCTTTTCACTATTTTTACCATTTTATGATGTTTTTAAAAATATAGGACTTTAGGTCTCTATGAGAATATTTGGATCAATTATTATCATTGAAACACTGTGTTGTTTTTTATAATATATACTTTTCATAATTTGTTTATACTTATTTTCAAATTCCCTGGTCATTTCTCTTTCATTCACTTTCTCTCTGATCATATGATATGATCTCCAATGTTTTTTGTAATTTATGTGCATGCTCTTTCTATTTTTTACATGGTGGCATGATAAATAAATATCTGTAAGGTAATTCAATATTTTGATTTTTAGGTATAGCTGATAGGATTGTAATAAAGTGTTAGGCTGCTAAACAAATTCATGAGTTTGGTCTGACTGAATGGTCATTATTGTCCTTGGTGACCTACATTAATGTTAAATGTATTGTGTTGTATAATGGGTTTTTTATGGGAAAGTTAAGAAGCGAGCAGGCAGTTTTCCTGATGTTGTGTTTACTGTCGCCCATGGAAATCTGCAACACCGGTGGTTACCGATTGCCATACTTAAAAAATTGGGCCCTGAAAGCGAAAATAGTACTATCACTTCACACCGGTCTACTGTGAGGCTATGGTACGTCCCCGGATGAGCCTGCACATTCGTGCAACAGCAGAATCTATTATGTGGCCCTGGCTCCTAGCCCTACCATAGTTATATATTATATATAATCAGGCGCAACTGCCCCGATTTTAAGTTTTTTTAAACATCGGGACTGTACAGCAAATTTTTTTCAGGATTTATCAATTTCTTAAATGTTTTACGGTGGACATGTATCTTAGCCAGGATATATTTTATACCTCGTTTATACAGCGTGTCGTTACAACCGCGACAATAAATGAACTTGCCAATATAAATATAAAACGTTCAAAAAACCCATAATTAAAAAAATTGTTTTTTTCAAACAACATAATTAAATAAAAAAGAAACAAAATTTGTAACATCTACAACTACAACTAACCGATTCGTATATTCAAAGACGTTTTCATTCGTTGCAAAAACGTCGCATTACAAGTCTCTCCATCTAACAGCATGTTTTATCTCTTTTAAATTCATTCAACGCATTCATATGTTTTGTGACTTTTACAAATGAACTTTAAGTTACAGTTTTATACGTAAGGATGTTCTAAAAATGTTTGTTTTGTAAAATTTATAACTCGGTAAATATTGATGTTTAAAGAATGTAAATGCTTAATACAGTTTTAAAAAGTTAGCCTCTATATGTGTGTTCATTGATTGTCACGGTTGTAACGACATGCTGTATATTTGTTGTTATTAATAAATAAATTGTAGAGAGATCATACGCGAACTGAACGTATTTTATATTCTTTATATCGATGTTCAAAGCTTATTTAGCAGTGACAAAAGCACATTGCTTGAGTATCGAAGCCTGTGACCGTTGCAATAACATACACACGAATATTCACATAAGATTACACATTCTATCGTGGTGAAAAACTCTCAACCTATTCGCGAGTGACCACTCTGATCGAAGGCCTGAGAACCGAAGGTGCATCGACGGTTGGTAGCAGTATAAGTTAGGTACATGCGTGTTTTTTATTTGTAACTGCCTATTTTAAGGATTGAACAACGTTCATCGCAGATCGTCTGATATTCAGTGTGTCTGTCCCAGTATAGGATTAAAGTCACCCCATTTCGTCTAGATGCGTATGCTACAAATAAATAGAAATTTGTATATTAAATGCAATAAAAACAAAGTAAATAAGACGTCAAGATTTTCGTGCGGTGAGGATATAGAGAGTATTGACATTTAAAGCAGTGTCTTATAAAGTTTTGACAGACCTTGATCTGTTGTTCATTGACGAGCATTTTCAATGCTCTTCCTTCTAGGGTCTAGCTGCACATTCCCGAATGCCTGTAAATAGGCGTTCACAGGCCGAATAAACCGCCCAACCAAGACCCCTAGTTTCGAAAAATCAACAAGTAAAGTTATCGGCTAAAAGACCACCTACGCTGTACTAACCTCATTACTTCAAACAGGACAATGTTTGATTTGACAGTGAAATATACCGCCACGAACCCCGAAGGGTCAATACTTTGGGAACCTCAAACTCCCAACGACCTGGGCACACACCGAACAGGAAACTACAACAGGCAATTATATTATACCTCCACAGATCCTTTGGGACAAGAAGGTCAACTCGATTTCGAACAACATTAGCCACACATATAAAATCATAAGGTAGAGCCGCGTCCGTTTCGGGCTGGCTCTATAACTTAAATAATCACTCCAGTAAAATAACCTTAACGTACGACCTTGGTTTGTCATACGCTTTTATGTCTTATCCTCATATTAGCCCCCAGATACGTGCATAATTTTGAGGTAATTGAAAATAAGTTCATCTGCCTCGTAACCGATGCTGGATATCAACATAACGTGGACTTGCATAGAGATTGCAGACTCTGTACGCTATGCGAAGTCTTGCAAGAGTTAACCAAAGAGATCATCGGAAGGGCCGAAATCCATTCCAATCTTTTGCCACGCAGCTAATTACCACCCCGACATAAACGCGACACAAACGTTCCCATGCAACGTCCTGATCGACCCGGTCGAGGAAGGCGAAATATACACGTCGGAGACACCGGGAGTCCCGCTAAACGCCACTCAATACCCACATATACTGCTAACAAACGCATAACCAATCAGTTCGTCCTCGCCCGATAGCACGTCGTAACGAACCACGCGTAAAAAAGCCACACCCACGTCCCATGGTGGTTCTTGCTGCCCCCAGTTTCCGGTTAATACAGTCGTCAGCGGTATCGGTTGTCACGATCCGTACCGAATCTCGGTGGCCTGTAGTAACCTCTTCCCGTTTAAAATAACGCATGCAGCAAGCAGATGGGCGGCCCCATAGATAAGACATATATACTGAAATATATATACACATAAGGCCCTAAGCAAATGCGGCGGGCCGTATCAAGCTCACGGGTTCTGCATTCGATGTTGATTTATTTATAAAGCCTACAAGCTGGAAGCAAAAACATCAATAAATGTAAAGTAAATTCTTGATCGTTCATGTTATCATTTTGAACATATTTTATAAAGGTAGTCTATTTGTTCACGAAACAAATAGAATTCAATGATTTTTTTTAATTGAAAAGTTCGAAAATACTTAAAAAAGTAATTACTTTATGAATCTTATGTTTTAATGTCAATAATTATTTACGACTTTAATTAAATGTTAGTTACTTCAAGAGTTACGACTACAAAAACAAAGTTAAAGTATAAATAATTAATGTCTGGGGTTATCATATTTTATCATTGACGGCACGAAAATACATTTAAAACATATACCATGAAATGTGCGGTGCGCTCTGTTGACTGTTGTAGATAAGAATTCGTGACTTGTGATTTTGGAGTCGGAGAGTCAACATCTCTTTTAAAAGCCATAATTTATTTACGATAGCTATTGAAATGTCGAAATGGGCTATATTATTGTTATTTATTATTTCCTATGTTAGCAATGGTAAAAAATAATAAAGAATTACATCCGCGCTGGGTACAGCCTAATTGACTTTTAATACTCATTAAATTTCTTCAGGTTTAGGTATAAAATGTTGGAGTTGTCGTTCCAGTGACGATCCAAAGTGTGGAGATCCTTTTGATAATAGCACTTTGCCATTTGCAAATTGTAACCAGCAAGGACTTGAAAAATTACCTGAGACGAAAAATAGTGTGTGCCGAAAAATACGTCAAAAAGGTCTGTCTGCTTATTTTCACTGTTGTTTGTCAAAGTAAATATTAAAATTGGTAAATGTAAATAACTTTAACTCCGGCGTAATTAAAATAAATTTTAAACGATAGAGATAAATCTCTAATGAATTAATCAACAAGCAGAATTCGGCGGTCGCTTATAGTTTTCGAGAAAAAATATTTAAAACTTGTTTTTTGTACTAAGAAATCCACCATTTTATTTGTTTGACTTCAAAAACTCAATACACAGTTCTGCCAACATGATAAATATAGGTAGCGGGCGACATCATACACGTATCGATATTCCGATTTTTTTTTAATTTAATGAGTCACAGAACCGACACAGAGCGAATCCGACTCGGATAGATTAGGTTAGAAGGTTCAGGCGGGAGCTTCGCTCCCGCCTTAACCTTCGATGTTAGGTTTTTTTTTTATGACCACCAAGAAATACGAGCTGAATTGACATATTGACAACAAAAAAATGGCGGATTTCTATAGTAAAAATCACACTAATTCACTTTATTTATTCGAAAACTATAAGCGACCGCCGAATTCTGCTTGTTGATAAATTCATAAGTGATTTTTCTCTATCGTTTAAAATTTATTTGATTTGAATTACGCCGGAGTTAAAGTTATTTACGTTTACCTTAAATTTTAATCATAATTTTTATTTAATTATTAAATGTCAGTTTTAATTTTTTTCGTATAAATAATATAACTTGAAAATATAGGTTAGGAGAAAAATAACTTTTTATAGAATATGTCCGTCCAAAAGTTTTAAATTGTATATAAGCAGTGGTGGTGACTTTATTAAATGATTAATTATTTCTAAAGTTACATTCGGCTAGGTAGATAATCATGTACTTTTGCTAAACTAGCGCCATTGTTGTGGGTTTATGTTAAATTTTCTCAATTTGCCGTATATAAGATTATCCTCCTTCTTAAACTTAACTCTACACTACTTAGGCCTTTACCTGCCGTTTTATTATCCATTTTGAAACTACTTTATTCTTTATTCTTGTCATCAGTCATTATGTACGTAGTCTATTAGTGATCTGTACTTGTAGACTAGTAGTCTTATTTATGTAATGGAGATTCGTTATACCAAATAAAAAATAAAGTATAAAAAGTATCCTTCGCTTTGGTTATATAAGTATATAGATAATAGTAGACATTGTTCAATCTAGACAAGTGTCTAGAATCTAGATTGAACAATGCTTAACAAACGACGCGCTAAAACTGTTTCCAATTGCATGATATGTATGAGTGCCACTCAAGTACTTATTGTACACTAACTGTCAAGGTGTGTGTCGCTTAGGGATGCATGCACCAAATTATTATTTGCAAATTTCAAATGATTATATACATGTCTCGATAACTCATTAGCCGTACCGAAAGGCGTATGTCTACTACAATTGGTTGGGTAGACCCGTGGTTCACTAAGTGAACTTCTCTTACATCAGTGTCATTTCAATCACGGATAATGTGCTCACGAAAAATAATTAATTATACCGGTTTGTGCTATCAAGACTGCCACGAAGTACGATCCTGAGCCACCTGCATCCATCGACTTCCCGCACATTTGCACAGGTCGTCGTCGTAGTGATGCCCTACGGAACCGAGACGTGGTCCTTCACTGCTGGCCGTATGAGGAAGCTCAAAGTCGCTCAGCGAGCTATGGAGCGGGCTATGCTCGGTATTTCTCTGCGTGATAGAGTTCGTAACGAAGACATCCACAGTAGAACCAAGGTAACCGACATAGCTCAGTGAATTAGCAAGCTGAAGTGGCGATGGGCCGGCCATATAGCTCGTAGAACCGATAACCGTTGGGGAAGAAAGGTTCTCGATTGGCAGCCTCGTACTGGCCATCGCAGTGTGGGACGACCTCCCACTAGATGGAGTGACGACCTTTAATAATAACCACTAATAATTTAAGAAAACACAATTTTTTATTCGTTATATATATATAATTCTTACTTTTATTTTAGGTTTCAGACTAGCTACAGATTCCGTACTTGCAAATCGCTGGAGAGCGATTATACATTAGATTTTAGAAACTACTGTATTTTTTCATCGTATTTTTTGTTATTACAAAAATAAATAAAATTACTAATCTACTTTCACCTTATTAAATAATGGGGAAAACTTAAGTTTATAATTTAGAGCAGGAAAAACTTAGTACGCACACTGTTTGCTTCCATTTTACAATAACAACTTAACAAGTACAAGAGTGAAGAGTAGTAGTTGGCATCAACTTAAACGTAGACAGTAGTGATTAACTGATTAGTGATTACATTCTCTCTGGTTGGCACTGGTCTGGCGTCTGGATAGTACTCACACTCGCACATATCATGATATCACGCAATCGGAGACAGTTTTAGCGCGTCATTTGTAAGCATTTCCATCTAGACAAATGTATTATAATCACAGGTTTTAAGTTAAAACTTTTGAAAGTTGTTAAACTGTTATTTGCTACATCTTAGCGCTTTAACTTGTCATTATTATGAGTTCGTCCTCCTTATTTCTAAATGTAGTTTCCACAATACACTCCTTATTCTAGGTATCTAAGGTACAACAAAGACAAGTCTTTTGAATTTGTTCATTTTACTGTTTACTGGAACACTGGTCGTCTGTTATCATTCATCAATATCAATGGTTCGATTTGGAACTGATGCATAAAAATGATACATCTTGTTGAGATAATAATGTCTATTTAATTTAAAGTTCAGTTGTAAATTCGGATTTATATTTGAATTCCTTAATTACAGTTAATGGCGATTGGAACTACATTAGAGATTGTGCCTACATAGATGTTGACATTCAAGGTAATGGTAAACTGTGTGAAATGAGAAGTGGTACAAATAATACTTATATGGAGTATTGCATATGTAATACTAAAGACGGGTGTAACTCTTCTCCATTTTTGAACTCAGTGCCCATCCTCATATTTTTATCTTCTGTTTTAAGTATGGGAATATAAAAATAAATTTAACATTAAGTAATACAATTATATAACATATAATTGTATTTCTTAATCTGAGCATTTTGCTTTTATTTGTGTTGCAAAATCAATAGAGGATTGCTCTTGATTGGAAGCTATGGTTTAATTTTAATTATATACATTAATTCAATTACATACATTTAATTTACAAATCTCATGACAATATGTGATTTCATATTATATATTTTTTTATCAATTTGTTTTCAATGTTTTTATTGAATGTTCAAACCCATATACAAGTGCATAATTATACATAAATAATACATTACATATAATTAAGAAGTGAGCTTTTTAAGTTCATTTCAGTAAAAAAGTTTATTTGTACATATTATAAAGCAGGGGTGAGCAACCTTTTTAATCAATGGGCCAATTTAAATTTCAAACTTTTTGGCGGGCCGCACATAATAATTTACGAAACTTTATTTATAAAATTATAAAATAAGAAAAAGTAAAGATTTCACATACAAATTTTAATGTAGGGTAAAATCAAACAAGAAAAGAACAGAAAAACGAACAAAACATATTTCGGTTCAGTATATACTACCATTTTATTATAATTAATTTTATAACAATATATTGATGGGAGAAATTCGATAAAATAAATTAAATTTTAGAAATGCTTGGCGGGCCGCATAAACATGTTTAAGGGGCCGCAAGCGGCTCGCGGGCCGCTCGTTGCTCATCCTTGTTATAAAGTACCTATATGTATTTATTAAGTATTGTCTCAGTAACAGAGATTGGAAAACTATAGCTCTCAAATCTTGCTATTTTTTATTTTAATAATTGAAATAGATAGTCTGAACGTTGCTTTCATGTGATGTTTTAAATTTTGAAATTTAATTTTGAGCATATCATGCTAGCATTTTATAAGCCAAATGTATAAGTGTACCCAGTTGAATATGTTAAATCCTAATGATTTTACTATTTGTCTCAAAATCTTACTAATGGCCTATTAGCGGGGCTGAAGGTTGTCCACAGTAGTGATGGGAGGCATCGCAATCCTCTTCAGCTTGCAGACAACAGGCTCCTTCTCTTTCTTCAAGGTCCATTAGTCTGCTTGATTAGAGTAAAAAAAAAGAAGTAAAAACCTGAGCAAAGACCTCCTCTGTTCGCAGGCTATTAATGCTGACTTCAAATATCTTCTAAATAATTTTTCTATAATTGTTTCGAAATTATGGTGTCCTCGAAAGATTATTTAGATTATACTTCATCTGCCAGCAATAACAAGGCACCAACAAGATGTTCGCCGTCAACGTCGTCATTGGTAGCTGCTAGTATCGGCGCAAGTTTGGCTTATACTCTTGGACTGCTGGATACGTACAATTTTCCGATGCTTCAAATATTTTCTTATGTTCTTATCACGTTATAAACTGGAATTTTCTCGCACTGTTTCGTCAATATAATAGAGACAATTGCGGTAGTCAATTGCAAAATAAATAAAATATTAAGACTGGCGAGAAGTGGAAGCGTTATGCTTTTGTGTTTAGTGAGTGAGGTAGCCAGGGCCCACTTTATTAAAAGGTAGCAACGCATCTGCAATCCTACGAGTGTTGCAAATACCCATGGGCGGTGGTTATCACTTAATATCAGGTATACCGACAGCTCGGTTGCCATCTTCTGACATAAAAAATATAACTTAATTGCATCCTAAATTTGGTTACTTAAAGCTAAGAAAAATTCCTGGTATTCCCCGTTAATTAACTATTAACTAATAGCGTGGCCATAATTCTTTATTAATATCACAGAGCTACGCGAGGCTACGATTGTTGTTAAAAGATTATTGATAATTTAAATAGCTTACCTCTGAAGTAGCCTAAATGGCGACAAATAGCCTACGTTGGCCACACTGCAGCCAAAAGGAAACATTATTAATTTCTACGGTATTATCACGGCAACATTTTGACATTTACCTATAACAGCAAGTTATCTATTTAAACCGTTCTCAAATGGAATAGGGGATAAAACTTTCAGCTATTTTTCTTATGTTACGCAAAGTATAACTTCTTACGTGCGTAATACAAAAGTCTACGGTTCACCTGATGTTAAGTGAATGTCGCCGGCCATGAACATCTACAAAACCTGAGGGATTTTGTAGATGTTCCTATATGACAACTTATAAAAAGGTTTGCTCCGGTTACCTCACTCACCAGAGGAAACGCGAAATTATAGTACTTCCACTTAACGCCGGTACTTATGTGACGCTATGGTACTTGGAACAGCGGATGCTGTTGCGTGGCCCTACCACAGTTGATGTTCAATGTGAAAATGAAACCGTAAAAAGGCTTTGTTTATTTATTAAAAAATTAAGACATTTAAAATAAATTTGTACTTGTGACATTACACCAAAGTTAATTTTATTAAACATAAACTTTAGTCTGGATAACAAAAACTCATTTACCAAAAAATACATCTGAATATTTAACAACTATGAAGAATGTATATATAACATATAAAAAGAAATTACCATGCAACATATTTACAATTATACTGTAATTATAACATCTATAGCACATTAAAGTGTAACCTAACATCTAAGCGTTAGAAAAACCATTGTTTCTGCTATGTATATTATTAAAAAAAAATATGTTGTGGTTAGCCATTAACGCTTAAAATTAAAATTTTCATTACAAAACGCCTTAATTAAGGTTTTATTTAAAATTGAAACAAAAATTACGTACCTAAATGTATGTTATTGAGAGTACTTAATACGAAACTGTTTTAAGTGTAATGTTAAGTCACACGTATTTTTGTTTTAATGTATTGTCAAATTAAATGTAGCTGATCTCCGATCCGTTAAATTAAACATACCATTCAAGAAAAATAAAAGATCCTAAAGATAAAGAGCTAAAAGCAAACTTCGTTTCGAAGCGTATAGAAACTCAACAAACTAAGAGTAAGCTGAAATTTCAATAAATGTGAAGGTTACATTAAGATCTCTCTTGACACAAATAATTTTACGGTACTTCTGTGCTAACTAGTCTCTGAGTGCGACTCAATTAACGTTACATTATTTATCAATACGCCGAAATATAATCCGGTGGGTGCAAAACTATTTAAATGGTTGTTGTAGTGGTCCCGTATGACAACGAGTTTTGTGTACAAGCGTCTCCGACTCCTTACTTGAAGAGTAATAAGCCGAGGGGAGCGAGCAGCAGTGCTAGGGTTTTCGCTACGGCCGAGGCGCCGTTGCACGCGTCGTAGTCGCAGGTCTCGCAGAAAGAGGTCACTTCGTTGGACGACGAGGTCGAGGTGCTGGGGCAGGTGTTCGTGTAGTCGTCCTTACGCTTCCAGGTGCAGCCGCGCGAGATCACCAGCTCGCCGCGCACTGAAACCGACGTCGAATTGGCGTGATGCGAATGTCACTTTATGGGTATCAGTTCCCTAACTTTAACTAAAGGGGATGGGCAATGGGCGGTTCTCCTAAAGTTAAGTGATTACCGCCCTTTGGCATCTACAACACCTGACAGGATGCAACGGTCAGTGCCGGTCTTTGATCAGGGTAGAGCGAGATTGTCTTACAGTGTCTTTTAATCGGTGCTTCCAATTTGCATAAAATGCAGTTCGGCTTTATGTCAAACAAATAATAAGAACTATTTTTTTTTTCAAATAAATTTATCGCAAACATCATCACTGATTTAATTTATATTAAATCAATAATTCTTTATCATTGAGCTAATATCTATCGCTACTTAATATAAATTGAAATTTTGTGTTAATTTCAATTAGTTAGTTAACAATAAAATCTGTTATCTACATGTTATATGTTATGTTTCTATCTGTCAATGAAAACAATAGTAGAACCAAAAATATTGACACGATTAAAACCTCAATAAAATTTCAGTGGGGTTCGAACCGGCGAACTTAGAGTTGTAGCCAGACGTAGACGTATGTTGAGTTAATTGTGAGTTTCAGACATTTTATGTTAAATTTAATTCCCTATTGGGCGTTTGCCATTTGCGTTCTTTATAACTACTCTAGAAAATATTAGAAAAGTAGGCACTTATTATAATCGAGTGAAATAATTATGTAGTAACAACTAACATGATTTATATTTAAATTTTGTTATTTTGTCATATGAAAAACTATTTGACCGTGAAATACATTCGCAACATAAAGAGCTAACTTATAAAATAATAATAAAAGTTATAAAACGCAAGTAACTATTTGGATAAATGTAAAACTGCAGTTATATCCGTGTTAGTAGTTCAACAGTTTTATTGTAGCTCCAATCTATACTACATTATAAAGAGGAAAGATTTGATTGTTTGTATGTATTGAATAGGCTCCGAAACTACTGAACCGATTTAAAAATTCTTTCACTGTTGGAAAGCTACATTATCCGCGGGTGATATGGGCTATATTATACTTTCACAAAAAATAGGGATCTTTACTAAAACTTCAATAATGTAACCCAAAGTGTACAAAAATTACCTAAAATATTCTTTACATCGCGTGCGCTGCGAAACTATTGACGATAGAATAAAGTAATGTACTACGAATTTGCAGAACACATCATTATTTCCAAAAAGTGTCGGGAGAGCATATGTCTAACTATTATAGTTATGCCACAATAAGTGTTCTTTTCTTTTAAAATTTTGATTGAAATGCCGCCGCTAGAAAAGGTTCTTTATTTGTATCTTGGTATTAATCCTTATAAAAATAAATTACTTCATATTTAAGACTGTTTTAATATCTTCATATAACTTTTTGAATTATTAAATTCGGACATTCCATTCGAAAGATATCACAAGTTTAAAAATGTTAGTATAATGTAATTTAACTATACAAACAGCTTAATGACTTAGTAGTTTTTATAATTTTTCAATCACATTTATATTGGTAATTTTTGATTAACAATTAGGAAAAATTAAGTACAAACGCAGTTTATTTTTTTTATCATTTTAAAATTGCCAAAAGATCAAGATCTCATCTTTTTAGAAATAGTTCCCAGGCGAGATTAGAGAGAAAGACCACAAACGTCAACAACTAGAGTTCGTAATCGACTTTTAGCTCACAGTAACAGATCAGCTTTAATGCATTAAGCTCAACAGTCGTCCGTCCAAATCGGAGCAATGAATAAGATCTGCTCTAAGTGTTCTGCCAAAAAATGGGTCGATGAACCAAATGGTATTTGCTGTGCTTCTGGAAAAGTTAGTCTCCCCAATATTGAGGAGCCGCCACAGCCAATAAAAAATCTTTTGACAAATATTCATTCATCATCTGGACATTTTTAACCAACATCTGAAAGTGCAATAGCCTCTTTCAAATGACTTTGTTTGAGGCGAACTTTTAAAATAGAGGGACAAGTATACAAGCTATCATCATCCTCCTGCCCCTATCCCACCTAGGTGGGGTTGGCACAACATGAATCATGTTGTAAACGGTTTGGGCTATATTTTTACAACCAGCCGCGTGCCTGACGTCAACCCTCCTTGGGAAACAGATACCCAGACTACAAATTTCAACTGTGTAACTATCACGGTTCATGAGATACAGCATGTTGACAGAGGGACAAACAGACAGCGGAGTCTTAGTAATGGGGTCCCGTTTTACCCTTTGGGTACGGAATCCTAAAAAGGCTCCAGAGATATAGTGTTGCACGGTAGACACGTCCAACTTAAAAGGGTCTCTGAGTTACAAATCACAAAAATATCCCTTAATAATCGTAATATGAGAAGACGGTTAATATTTGACTATTCCTCAGCAAGATACTGTGCGTAACAAAACTGTGACATGCATGCAATTTTATGCATTTAGGTTGATGGTTAGAGCTACCTGTTTTAATCCATTGTATTATTACTGAGACTTTTAGGGTCCGTACTCAAATGGTAAAACCGCACCCTATTACTAAGACTCCGCTGTCTGTCTGTATGTCCATATGTCACCATCACAGGCTGTATCCCATGAACCGTGATAGTTAGACAGTTGAAATTTTCACAAACGATGTATTTCTGTTGCCGCTAAACAACAAATACTAAAAAACAAAAATAAGTGGGGCTCCCATGCTCCCATAAAACAGACATGATTTATTCAATGCATTGTCGATATGATGGCAAAATATATCAGAAAGATTGAATTACATATGATGTCGTAATAACCAGATTGAGGGCTGGAGAAACATTCATCTTAGAGACGCTTAAAATCAATACATTGGCCCATCAAATATCAGTCAACGCGTAATCTGTAACGTCATATTTATTTACAGGTTCTCCGAGTTATCTGCATTAAAAAACCTAGCTATGGGAGATACGTGTAACCCCGAATGTCCCGTAATTAAAGCGGAACCATTATCTGGTCAGCGGTCTTTCGATCTTCATGACGTGATTTCAAGGGTATTTCATTAAAAGATGAATAAATTCATAAAATTATTCGCCAAAGGCGAAATATTCGGAAGGTTTTGTGTGTGTATGATAACTTTTAATTTTAAAATTTTGTTAAATACCCGTGCGAAGCCGGGCCGCTAGTTACCAGTAATTTACACAATTTAAATCATATGTTGATATGCTATTTGAGAATTTATTTTGTATGTTAGCAGTAGTTATTTTATTTCACACATTTTGATGGAGCCATCTTATAGTTTTACAAAAGATATTTTTTTAAAGCGATGTCTAGTACAAATCTCAGTACCTCTCGTCACAGTACCTCTCTTTAAACCTCTACAGAATTATTCTATCCGAGTTTGCAAGATATTTTCGTGATGCTTTGGTGGTTTTTTAAAAAAAATAAGCGTTTGAACAATGGAGATATAATGTCAGTCGGTTCTTTTTTTTTACCGAACATCATTCAGTCGGTTCTTACGATCACGATTAATGAGTGTTCTTAGTATTTCCATGCTGTTGATAATCCATTGTTTGTTAATATTGTAAGCAAATTATACTCTTCAAAATTCATAAAAAATTAACCATAAAAAGAATAATCATGAAACCAGTTTGCTAATCTAACTTATATTTAGATTTTTCCACATTCTTTTATTCATTGCACAAATTGAATAAAAATAAGCAACTTTATTGACATAGAAACTAAATATTGCGGATTCATATTATACTAGCTGCTGCCCGCGACTACGTCTGCGTAGAATAGGCTGAAAGCGTAACATTCAGACAGAAAGACAATACAAGATGTATATAAATTATAGCCCATATCTTATTCTGATGTATAAGCTATGTTATTGTAAAATTTCACTAAAATCAGTTCATAAGTATTTGCGTGAAAGAGTAACAAACATCCATCCATACATACAATCTTTCGCCTTTATAATATTAATAAGGATTTTACTTTATTTACTGTTGGAAAACGCTGTCCTGTATAGTAAGGACGTTCTACATACATCAGATTCACGTGGACATATATCCAGATTCCGAAACAGTTATCTATGGATCACACAAATAGATGTCCCACGTGGGAATCGAACCCACCCTCGGTGCTAGAGCCAATACCTTGGCGATGTAAATAATCACGAGAAGTCGGTATTTACGACAGTTAATAGTCGCAACAGAGTTTTGGCTTCTATGTTTTTCGTTTACATTAAAAAGTACGGTTTTTAAATAAAATATTAATTAAAAGCAGTATTATACATCCAAATAGGGATCGCTTAGCGGTGTAAATTCATCAATTCAACTCGCAACTCAAAACTCTCATCCTATATAATCTCAGTATATAAGTGTATAATCTATGTTCTCAACCCTACAAAGATTTAACAAGGCGAAACGTTTACGAAAAACATACACGTATTTATTTGTCATCAGATGAGACCATTCTATTAGCCCAAGACGACAATGGATCTCGTGATCAAACAGTTACAATAGCTCTTTTATTTACCTACTTGTGCTTCGTAATTATCTCACTGGTTAATCCGTCTGTGACTGAATTGCATCAGAAAAATAGATAAACTGTAAATGTTTATACTTTTTTCCTGTACGGTAGCATATTTGAACATTTCGAATCAAAAACATTTATTTACAATAAAATCAGTAGTATCTTATTTATTATTATCGATTTAAATGTATACTGAATCTACTTTAAGTATTGATTCAAAGGGGTTTGTTCAAAAACATATTAATAAAAAATTACGACGTTGGTTCTGTTTTGAAATACCACCTTGGTCCAGCTGTTTATATACATGTAAGAAAGTCATTAAAATGTGTCGGTAAATTACTCACCGAACTTCTTCTGCTTCTTGCAAGCCGACACTGAGGACGTCAAGTAAGGGTAAGAAACCGCGGAAGTGGCGTCGCAGTTCTCCAGCCGGAACAGGTACGAATTGTCCGACTGGCCAGCCATGAAGGGGTCATTGCACAGCGGGTTCAGGTCCGAAGAGCAAGTCCAACAGCGCACCGATTCGGCTGTAAATTAAAAAAGCAATACCACCATTGTACATAGAAATACTGCAGAACTTTTTTTTCCTAGATATACTGGTATACTGGTCTTTACCTTAAGGGCACACGGGGCCCGTGCCTAGTGCCCGTGCCCTGTCGTCACGGGGGCCCGGATGGCCTACGTATCCGCTTAAACTATAGAAATTTTCCTCTATTTTAGGTAGATATGTTCCGGCAGAAGTTTATAGAATAACTAAAAAAACATAAGCTAATAGCAGAAAAATGTTTTGTCATTCACTTTTTTTCCTTTCCATCAGGGCCCCAAAGTGTGCCCTAGGGCCCCGATATGGCCTAAGGCGGCACAGTGGTATCTTCATGGTTTTTCAAGTTCAAGTTTAACTTCACCGCCGAGGCAAATCGGCAGTTCAAATTGCAATCAATGATTTCATTGGTACGGGCATTTGAACTATGGAGTTCACTGATAGCCTGCGCCGTTGAATTTGCCCTAAAATCTATATTCCGAGTGAGCCTTTATCCACCAGATGCATACACGTATATGCCGTACTTTACATAACATTAACGAGTTGACGTCTTATTGAACTACCTATTTTTCTGGTTATTGACGTGCTCGTGCGTCGTAGACAGAGACCCCACGTTCTAAATGCATCTAATACTACCATATGGAGTGGTATAAAGCCACCTCTTGCATAACCAGCAAAATCATTTTTCACCATGTCGATGATAAATACGGAAGTAGATCGACGAAGTCTGTTTAAAACTCAGCTTATTGAAGTTCCTCAAGGCGATTTTTCAACCTAGTTTATTTTTATAACAACTATCGCCCTCAAATCACTATCCATCTTTTTAAGGCAATACACCAATGACAATCACCGGCTATGCAAAGGCAATGTAAGGTCGTTATGAAGAAATCAAATAATATATAATAAATATAATGTCAAAATACGCCACTACTCTATGCTTAGTCTAGTCAGTCGTTAAACTATGTGTGGCGTCATGGATTAACATTTATACGGAGAGTATATTCGGACTAGTTTACTCTCTCCTTAATGGATATTTATTAATACTTAATTTAATAACATTGATCCCTTGGGAGAGAGGCAAAGCCCTTGTTTGGGACGCCACTTGTGTAGACACTTTGGCTGCCTCTCATCTAAGGGGTACTTCGGTCAGGGTCGGGGCGGCATCGGAGGCAGCTGAAGTAAGTAAATGGCGCAAATATGAGTCTTTATGTTTAGATTATGTATTTGTGCCATTTGCTGTTGAAACGTTAGGTCCGTGGGGTCCCCGCACATCAAATTTTTTTAAAAGTTTATGTCCTAGGCTTAACGCCGCGGCTGGTGACAAGAGAGCTGGTTCTTTTCTCGCTCAAAGGTTAAGCATAACTATTCAGCGAGGAAATGCAGCTAGCGTTCTTGGCACCATGCCGCGTGGATTAGGTTTATTAGATAATATGTAATTTTAGATAGATTTAATCTTGTAAATATTAGATCATTTTAAATAAAAAAAAACTTTCAAAAAAAAATTTAATAACTGAACTTAGGAAGTTCTTCAGTTTTGGAATAAAGTTGTTTTTGTGCATGTCCATGTTTGATAATAAGGTTGTAATATCCACAGCTGGACAAAAGCCTCCGTTGTATCGAGAGTATTAAGGTGGACTACATCGAGTCTTAATACTCTCGCCACGCCACCCACCCTAGTGCAGATTGGCAGATTTAAAATATCTAGAAAATAATGTTTTTGCCATTCTTTTAGAAAATATGAGTTTGCTCACGATGCTTTCCTCACCGCTGAGCACGTGTTAAGTCAGCGGTTAATATTGAAATTAAAAATTTCTTTGATACCTGTACCGGAATTTGAACTCTGTTTGTGTTTGAGTATAATAAATTAAAATCAAGCGGACGAATTTGTGTGAGGGCACTTTTTGCATCAAGTTATAAAAAAAAAGGAATACAAATTGGTGTTTTTCAATGATAAAGTGTAACTGTAAAATACTCAGGCTTGAAACTTTTTTTAAAAGCAAACGCTGTTGCTACTTCGTTCATGTATGTTGCTTACTGTACGGAAACTTTTGTTTTTTGTATAAAGCCTATAAAGTTTGCGGAAATACGGTAGAGGATAACATTAATAGAATTTAGATTGATGAAAAAGCCAACATTTTTATTATAAATCAATTTGCACAGAAAAACAGCGGCTTTATTGCGCAGCACCGTGACGAAATCAGTTTACAAGGCATGATTGGAATGTTATGCATCAATTACGACGCTCTTAGTGCTAAATAACCTTCAACGTTAAAGATACATGCAACAATAGAAATACCATATAGAAAAACTATAATCAATGTTTTGGCTATCGCCGTATCTGTAATGAGCGCATTATTGAATACATTTTATGTGCTCGTATACAATAACATCGTTTTTATTTCTTTTAATGGTTAAAATCTCTTGTCGATATTGGTGTCACCCGAGACGAATGTGGTCCTGATGATTTGATTGCCTTTTTTTAAACTTTACTGTAGGACTGTACTTTACTGTACGATAACATTCTCTTGTGTTGTAAGATCGTTTTACAAATATAAATTCCATGTGGCAAAACATTCCCAGATCCGAAACATTTCTCTGTCGGTCACACAAATACTTGTCCCGTGTGGGAATCCACGACACCCGACACCGAAGCCTCTCATCGAGTCTTAATTGCTTACTGCCTTAACGGCTTAATATGTAAATGTTCTGATACTGGAGTCTGGAGAAGAACGGGCTATCAAAATCAGGCTACCAAAAATCTATGCCTGTCATCATATTACATACTTATAACGCCCGCAAATTAAAGGTATAAATATAATTAGGTAAAAGAAAGGAAATAAAAAAATAGTTTTTAAATATGGATTGATTGAGTTATTAAGTACAAAAGCGATGGATTTCTGAATTCAGCTCAGAAATTTTAATTTACCTAAGTCGTAAGATCTTTTAGGAATAATAAAAAGTGATTGGAGTTTGTTTTTACTATTAAAATAAATAAACTGAAAATAGTATTTTTAAAAAGTAATATGATCAACTACACATATATATTCGTAATTATAAAAATTAATCAAAACATTATACTTATTCTGAAACATTAACAAGTTTTAGCTGTTTCTTTCGGTGTTGTTATCTCCAAAAGTTGTAAATAAAATTTTAATGGATTATTAATGATATAGTCATGGAGTAATAATTTTAGCATTAGCAATCTTTTTCCGCGGTTAGTTTCGTGATTAACTTGAATAACTTCCGCATATTTATGTACGTTTCTGGCTATTAGGATCAATGGTAGGTATATAATGTTAAGCTATCATTAATGGATAAATATTATCGCTTAATATCGCACATGTTATCTAAGTCACAGTAACTAAACTGTATTGCATGTACAAGCCTACGTGACTGGTTTCATAGTTAAAGTTTCTCGAATAACAAAATAATATACATCCTTTATAATGAAAATAGTTTTAAACAATGGAACTCAGATCAAATACTACAATTGATCTTTAAAGACAATTTCTTATTAAACAATGGCTCATCGTGCAGATTATTTTCTAGTCAATCATTATTAGATCATGATCCAATTTGTACGGGAAAAGAAAAATAATTATTGAAATGGGATATTGTGGAAAAGATATTGAAAAAAAAAACATAAAAAAGTGATTGTCATCTCAGATATCAATTTCACAGGGTAACAAATTTAAATGATGTTTGCCTTTGGAATGGAGTACACATTCAAGACTATCATTTATTTTTATCGTGGTATTAACTTGTTTAACCTGCGAATAATCACCGTCCACCTACGCCTGTGAACTGAATTGCTTTGCCCTTGTCGCATATAATCGGTAGCTGTGAGAAACTTAGATGCACGACATAAATGCATGTTTACGGACTATTCTTAACACCCACACGCGCCTAGTTGCTGATAATACTACATAATACGAAAATGATCCTTTATTCATATTTGTGATTTTTCCATATTCTGGTGGTAGGGTCACGCAACAGTGTTTGCCGTTGCACGAATGGGCAGCTCCGTCCGGGTTAGTACCACGACCTCACAGAAGACCGGCGTCAAGTAGAAGTGTTAAACTTCTGCGTTTCGTCTGGTGTGTGAGGTAGCCGGGGCCCACTACATTAAGAAGTGGCAACGCATCTGCAACCCTATGGGTGTTGCAAATGTCCATGGGCAGGCGGTTATCACTTAACATCAGGTGAACCGTCAGCTGGTTTTCCACTTTCTAACATAAAAAATTACTTAAAACTAATTCATGTGTTTTTAATTTAACATTATTATATTTACCTATCAGAAGTTATGAGCAATATATTTTGCATTGTCAACAAAATTTTTCGCCATGCTCCGTTAATTTCAATTAAAACTTCCTAACGGTTCGACGCATTTAACATAATGAAAAAGGGTAACACCGTTATCTATCGCCATTAACGTTAACATAATTAAAAATATTATATTACCTTAAAATTAATCAGCATTTGAATCGAACCCAAACCTATACATGTAAAAGGTTATAGAAAGTAATTCCATCGAATATTTTGTTACCGCTTTCACTGAAGTAAAACCGAGCAACAGTTCTTGGTGTTTCATGGATGAAGAGCGCCAGAAATTATTTTTTTTATACTTTTCGCGTAATTGAATGGGCTACCGGTATTCTGGGAATTCACGGGCAGCAAATAATATCGGGATCATCAGAGTACTCATTGAAATAGATTGTTAATGATAGCCAAATGGAGAAAGTGGAAACGTTACTTAGACGGACAATAACTTTGCATAAAAATTAATAGTAATTATCACTTTATTTGCGATATGTCTATTGTATTCGTTTAAAGAGAATGCAACTCTCGTAAAAACCTTTGCATATTGTGCTCTGACAAAAAATGAAATCTGTTTATTATGAGTCAACTTACTTGATAACGTGAGGACGCCTGTCATCGGAGTATAACGAATTAAAATCAGATTCGAATGTTTACGAACATGAAAAA